TTGAGACGTGAAAAGTGGGATGAATGTTACTGAGTTCCTGCGGCAGTTTGAGTTTATAAGCAACCGGACCAATCCTAGAAAGAATATAGAACGGTCCGATGTACCTTGGACTTAGTTTTCCACATTTGCCAAAACGTATCATTCCTTTCCAGGGTGAGACCTTTAACAGAACGCGATCACCAACCTGGAATTCCGAGGGCTTTCGTCGTTTACCCGCATAACTCTTCTATCTATCACTAGAATCTTTCAACCGTTCCCTAATTTGTATAATCTTTTCTGTGGTTTCTCGTATGATCTTGATTTTTGGCTAGTTGTGTATCACCTACTTCAGCCCAGTACATAGGGGATCTGCACTTACGGCCATAGAGAGCTTCGAAGGGTGCAACTTTGATACTAGTATGATAGTTATTGTTGTAGGAGAATTCAACCAGTGGTAAATGGGTGTCCCAAGTTTTTACCAAAATCTATCACACAAGCTCTTAACATGTCTTCCAGCGTTTGTATAGTTATTCGCTTTGCCCATCGGTCTGAGGATGATACGCTGTACTCATGTCAAGATTGGTTCCCAAGGATTTTTTCAATGATTTCCAAAAGCGGGAGGTAAATCTGCTATCTCAGTCAGAGATAATAGATATTGGCACACCATGAAATCGTACTATCTCTCTAAGATACGTCCTTGTTAACTTCTTTATTTTATCAGTTTCTTTTATCGGCAGGAAGTGTGAAGATTTAGTTAATCTGTCTACGATAACCCAAATGGTGTCATAACCACTCTCCATTATGGGTAACTTGGTTATGAAATCCATTGTAATCCACTCGCAGTTCCACTCAAGTATTTCCGGTTGTTGAAGTAAACCCGAGGGCTTTTGGTATTCTACCCTAACTTTGGTACAAGTTAGACACTTTCCAACGTAGGTAGCAATCTTTGCTTTCATGTTTGGCCACCAATAGAGTTTCTTTAGGTCCGAGTACATCTTGTCTGAACTCGGATGAACAGATTATCGAGTTTTATGGGCTGTGGTCATGACAACATCTCTGTAGCCACCAAACTTTGGTGTCCAGATTCGATTCATGAAATAACGTACTCTATCATCCTTGATTTCCAAGTTCTTTTCCATTCCCCTTAAATCTTCACCTTTCATGTTGTCATGTTTCAAGGCTTCCAGTTGAGCTTCCTTGATCTGTGTGGATAGGTGGGAATGGATGGTCATAGTTAGAGACTTTACTCGACGACCTGAGTACTCTTTCCGACTAAGGGCATATGCTACCACATTGGCCTTGTCGGGGTGATAGCGAATTTCACATTCATAATCACTTAATAGCTCTACCTATCGTCTTTGTCTCATATTAAGTTCTTTCTTATCGAAAATGTGTTGGAGGCTTTTGTGATCAATAAAGCTTGTACTTTTCGTACCATAAAGGTAATGTTTCCAAATATTTAATGCAATAATCACTGCTCCCAGTTCTAGATCGTGTGTAGTATAATTGACTTCGTGGTTCTTGAACTGTCTCGAGGCATATGATATAACTTTTCCTCATTGCATTAGGACACAGCCTAGCCCTTGTTCGGACGAATCGAAGTAAACTACAAAATATTATGTCCCTTCTGGGAGGGACAAGATCGATGCGCTGCAAAGGGCTTCTTTTAATGTCTAGCAAGCAGCGTCTTGTTTCACCTCCAATTTGAATATTACACCTTTTTGGGTCAAGGTGGTGAGTGGCTTTCCTATCTTTGAAAAGTTTTGAATGAATCTTCTATAGTAGCCAATGAGACCTAGAAACTGATGAATTTTTGTTGGGGTTTGTGGGGTCACCCAACTTTCTATATCCTTGATCTTGGAGGGGTCAACATGTATCACATCCTTGTTGACTACATGACCCAGGAACTTCACCTTTCGAATCCAGAATTCACATTTTGAGAACTTCGCATACAATTTCTCTGCCTTTAAAGTTTCCTAAAACTTGACGCAAGTGTTGGTTGTATTCTTCCTTACTCCACGAATAGACTAGTATATCATCAATGAAGACTACAACAAACTTATCTAAGTAAGGTCGACACACTCTATTCATCAGATCCATGAATACTGCGGGTGTATTCATTAGACCAAAGGGCATCACTACGAATTCGTAGTGACCATAGCGATGCCTGAAAGCAGTCTTTGGAATGTCGACTTCGTGGACTTGTAGCTGATGGTATCTTGATCTTAGGTTAATTTTGGATAAGAAACTTGCTCCTTGGATTTGATCAAAGAGGTCATCTATTCGGGGTAAAGGGTATTTGTTTTTAATGGTAAGTTTGTTTAATTCTTTGTAGTCTATACACATGCAAAACGATCCATCCTTCATTTTCACGAATAAGACCGGTGCTCCCCAGGGTGAGAAGTTTGACCTGATAAATCCCTTATTGAGAAGTTCGTTCAATTGACTGGATAGTTCCTGTATTTGCGACTGTGTAAGACAATACGAAGATTTAGCTACGGGGGTAGCTCCAGAGATCAAGTCGATTCAAAATTCGACTTGGCGTTCAGGAGGAACTCCTAAGATATCTTCAGGACATACATTAGGGAAATCACGGACTTCAGAAATATCCTTGATGTTCTTCACTTCTTGTGTTTTATCAACTATGTGAGCTAAGAAGGCATAGTAATTTTTGCGAAGATACTTTTTGGACTTGATGCAAGAAATGATTTGAAGATTTGCACTAGGTTTATCGCCATAGATAACAAGAGATTCACCATTTGGTAAGTTGAGGGGAATGGCCTTTTCGAAACATAGAATATCGGCACGATGAGGCCTTAACCAGTCCATGCCGATAATGATGTCAAAGGTTTTTATGGAGGTTGGCATAAGATCTATTTTGAAGGAATAGATGTTTAAAGTGAGTGTACACCCTATGTATATATCGTTTATGCTCTAAGTCTTGCCATTAGCCATCTCTGCAGTGAATGTGTCTTTTAAGGATTGGGGATTTTGTTTTATTAGGTGTTTAAATTTGTGGCTCACGCAACTTCTCTCCGCACCACTATCAAAAAGAATGCATGCATAAGAATTATTGAGAAGAAACATACCGATCACCACGATAGGATCTGCCATTGCTTCTTTGTGGCTGATTGCTAAAACTCTTCCTGTACCCCCATCATTCTTCGTCTCTGGGCAGACTCTCTTGAAATGCCCGATTTCACCACACTCAGAACAAGCTTGACTAATTCCCGTGGTTGGGACTTGAGATACTGGATGTGCTGGTGTTTTACAGAAGCGGGTAGTATCCCCTTCTTATTGCAGTTTTTGTAGTGCATTTCCTTGCAAACTCCCATGTGATGAAAGTTGTATTTATCGCACTTTGGCAAAGTTCCAGCATATGGACTTGGGGTTTTTGGATTAGTAGAAATTATCGTAGATGTAGGAATAGGAACGGTAATTGGAATAATAGCAGTGTGCACTACCATAGTTGGTTGCTTCTTAGATGGTTCCTATGATGACTGCCCCTTTCGTTTATTCCAAAATTTCTTTTTACCGCCTTCTTCTTTGGGCTTTTCAGAGATTGCTAGTGCGGAATTTTGAATAACTCCATGATCTATTAATGTATGTGCCAAAGGTTTGGCACTATCGAAGGTAAGGGGATTGGCAGCTAAAACATTCCCTTGAGTCGAGAGAGTTAATCCCCATATATATCTTTCTACCTTCTTGCTCTCCGGGGTGACCATCCCAGAACATAGTAGAGCCAGGTCACTGAACCTAGCAGTGTAAGCAATAATATCGGAGCTTTTCATCTTTAGAACCCAGAGCTCATGTTCTAGTTTTTGCATTTCGCCCCTCGGGTGGTATCCAACTAGCATTAATTCTTTCAAATCCTTCCAACCCATACTGTTAGCTATTGGAAGAGTCAAGGATTTGACTTGGCTAACAAGCATGCTGCAAATTTCACTTTGCTAACCTCGGGGCATGCACAAATTTCAAATATTGATTGGATTTTCTTGAACCAACGAGTTAAAACAATGACACCTCCCGTGTCATCAAAGGATCGAGGTTTAGCATTGGTGAACTCCTTGTATGAACATTCCTTTGGATGATCATGATAATCTCCATGATTAGAATGACGGACACCATTACATGACTCACCGTTGCGACTAGCATTGATCTGAGTTATTGTTGCTGCCACAGTAGCGGTTACTGCTGTTTGAAAGACAGCAACATCATATTGTGGAGGTGGCGGCGGTGGAGGATTTGGTGGATTATTGTTCTCTCTGTTGGATTTTCTTGGAGGCATATTTTTAACTATAATAAAAGTAAAAAGATGATAAGTTATTAAATTTCAATTTTTAAAAGCATCATAAATTCAATTCATAACAAAGGTTTATGCAACATAAACTTTATGAATTACTAATAGTAGTATACTCCGTGTAATTTGTTTCGTATCAGACATTTCTATAATCATTTGATGTATACATATTGTATGAAATTAAAATTTGAAAGACTGTCGACTTTAATAGGTCTACCTTAAATTCACAACCAAACAAGGAACATAATAAATTGGGCACCCATTAATTCTAAATCAATAAAAATTTAATTACATAAAATTATAATATATACACTAAATAATCATAAAATACTATTCCAAATAGATCTTGATAACAAGGTTGTAGTATTTTTCGATGAAATATTTGTTACTTTTATTTATATATAAACTCGGAAAAACTTTGACTTGTTACAAAATATATTACATAAATGGAAAGTTTTATGATTCTACGAATAGTATACTCACTAAATCGTAGAAGAAAAGTTTTTACATACATACTCAACAACATGTATATAATAAAACTTATTAGTAGTGAAAATACTATTTGCGGCGGGTACTACGTCGTTTGCTGGATTCTACTTCATCTTGTACTTTCCAACGCTTT